CTGATTCTTAATCCAATAAATTGAACTAACCAATTCGATCTGATTTTTAAAATATTAATTAAGACTATTGTAATCTCAAAAGTTAGAGATACTAGGTGACAAATTGTTATTGTTAAGATTTATAGAATCGTGATAGAAATTAATTTTAAAAGTTTGATAGTTTAAAATGAGAGAAAATCTTTAAAAAGAACTATATTACAAAGAAGAAAAAAATCTTACATTATTAAAAAGATAAAATATTTTTACATGAAATACTTTATATATAAATCTTGAAAAGGCATTAATAAATCGACAAATTTATACAAATTCATTAATAAATTGACAAATTTATAAAAATTCTAACTTACTACTATATTTTATTAGCCTCCACATGTTCAAGTAAGAGAATTCTTATATGAGTTTGGAGTACAAAGTTAAACTTTTTTATAATAAATTTTAGATTTAATATTTTTTCCTTAACTTCGAGGATTACTTTGATCCATTAATTTATTATTATTCTTTTTATAATTAGGGACGATTTTAATAATTTGTTTTATATTTTTTTTATTGTTAATTAAATTAAAACAATTGATATGATACATTTTAAAGACTACTCTATTAACTAATCTGATATAATATTTTTTAAAATTAAAAGAACAAAATAAATCACGAGATTATTATACGAAATCCAAAAAACATTAAGTGAAAATTCTAACTAACCAATCTGTTTTTAATGTTGTTTCGGTGTGATTATTTTTTATTATGCTGTAATAAAGAAAAATGATATCAACTATTGTTGATAACATTTTGTCTCAACCTATAGGGCAATAAACAACCTTTATTTAAAATCTTGGAACCATCACAACTTTGTATGAGTTTTCTATTTGAAGGAAAATTGTCATCTTATTTCTTAGAGAAAAATATGATGTCCTAAACATTTTTGTTAGTTAATCAATCTTTGGTTGTTTAGAAGTTAGTTAACAGAGTAGTTAGACATTTTTAACTAACTCCATACCTGGTTACTATTAATTATATATGTGGTTATTATTAAGTGACTAGGTGGTTATTACTATAAATTAGTTAGTTAATAATATGATTCTATATAAACGATGTACACTATGCATCACTTACCAAGCGTAATCGAATACAATAATCACTTTGATACCTCTCAATTTTCTATATATTTTCTCTTCCCCTTATTTCTTGTAGAGCAAGAAAACTTTTGTTCTAATAGATTTGGTATCTTGAGCTTAAATCTTGATTATGTAGAATACACAAATTCGAGAATTATCTTGCAATATTCAATCAAGTAAAGATAAATGGCGGTAACGACCTTCCAAAACTTTCAATCCTTGATGGAAAAAGTTGGGAGAGGACACACAAAAAATGAAGGCTTTATTTGACTATTAAGACAGACTAAAAGTAGTTGAAAATGGTGTAAGGTGTTCAAGAACTCGCAAAATATGTAACTAAAGCACAAAATAATATTCATAAAAAAGATATTAAGAAATATTACAAGACTACTTAGTAATTACAAGCAGCATAAGATGCTGCAAAATTTGACAAGATTTCTCACGTTGAGAATGCAAAGGAGGCATGTGATATCTTGATCAAATACTATTAAAGATATTAAAATGTGAAGGGTGTTAAGTTGAGAGTTTTGAGAAGACAATATGAATGACTGCAAATGGAGAAGAATGAAGTTGTTGCAGCCTATGTATAAAACATGCAAGGCTTGGTTCACACAATGAAAAGCTATGGTGAAGCGATGATTGAAAAAATGATAATTCGAAAGGTTATGAAGATATTCACTCCTCATTTTGACCATGTGATTATATAAGAATCTGACGCCTTAGAAACTATGAATATGGAAGATCATATAAGGTCTTTAGAAATACACGAGCTGGTAATTTTAGAAAGAAAGGGAGTGCACGAGTCAGTTTAAGCTCTACAAGCTTGAACTTGCAAGAAGAATGGTGGTTTTGAGAGGCACAAAGGCAATAGAATTCAAGATAAATTCAACGAGTATACAATTTCAAGGTCCTAGAAGACCAAACATGACAGTAATCTTGAATCCTTCAAGAAAGGCAAAGGGACATCAAACTTCAACTAACAAAAGACTTTAAGCAAGAACAAGAACCACATTCAATGTTATATATGTGAAAAATGAGGTCATTATGAAAATGGTGATAATGAAGCTAAAATAGTCCAAGATGATTCAGACGATGACACTACAATGTTAATGGTTGCACTGCCCGAAGATCAACATAAAGCAAGATCATGGGTTCTAGATACAAGTTGCTGAAATCATATGACATGCCACAATATCTGGTTGGTAAAATTTGATAGCAGAATAAAGAGTAAGTTGATATTATGAGATAATAAAACCCTATAGGCTTAAAGATTAGGAACATGATTATCAGAAGGAATGATGGCATATCTGAACTCATTGAGGATGTGTTATTTCTATTAGAAATAAAGTGCAATCTACTAATTATTGACCAACTTATACATAAATACTTCTCTGTAATTATATAAAATGATGTATTTGAATTATATGAATCTACCAACATCCTTGTCTTTAGGTTACCACTCGCACATAATAGGACCTTGAAGACATTGTTGAATACCACATAGGTAGAGTGCATGAAAGCTGTGGCAGAGGACAAGAAAAGTTGGCTATGACATTTAAGGTTTGTTCACCTTAACTTTAGGTTCCTCAATTAATTAGTCAATTAAGGTGTTGTTCTAGGTTTTCCAAGTTTCAAAATGTCCGACATGATGTATGGTGGTTACTTAGTTGGTAAGAAACCTAGGAAATCATTTAAGGCCAGCTTACCAATGATGTCAAACAATGTGCTAGAAGTTTTCCACTCAGATGTCTGTGGACCTTTTAAGGATAAGTATATAAGAGGGAATATATAATTCATCTTATTTTTTGATGAGCATAATGGGAAGATATTGATCTATTTGATTCAATCTAAGGATGAAATATTTCACATATTCAAGATGTTCAAGGCTCTGATTGAAAACCAAATCAGCAGAAGAATTAAGGTTACGGCGATGAATACAAATCAAAGGTCTTTAAGTCATTTTGTGTTGATCAAGATATACAACATGAAGTCACATATTTTTAAACACCATAACATGATGGCTTAATAGAAAGAAGAAACATAAATATCTTGGACATGACTAGATATATAGTAAGGTAAAGAGGTTTGCTCAAATTATTTTTGGGGTAAAGTTGTTAACACTACAACACGTGTGTGAGAAGATCAGCAAGGAATTGGGAAATGCAGAAACGCCCTTTGCCGAAGCCTGAATTGAAGAGAATGTGAGAAGTTCAACAAGGAAAAATGGTTTGCCTTAAAGAATCCAAGATTATGAGTTGTTCTGAGACAACGAAGTCAATGATGATGGTGATTTCGTCCATTTTACACTTATGGCCAATTCCGAACCCGTTAAAACGAAAGAGGCTTTAAGTGATTTAAAATGGATTTGTGCTATGAAGGAGAATTTGGAATCTATCGAGAAGAAAAATACTTGGGAATTAGTTGATCTACCGAACGCGAAGAAGCTAATTGTTGCGAGATAGGTGTTCGAAGTGAAGGCAAATCTTAAGGTAAAATAATCAATTACAAATGATGCAGAGATAAGGATGATGGAAAGTCTACAAATGGATACATCTTTATGTTTGGAAGAACACCAATCTTATGGTGTTAAAATAAGGAACTGGTAGTTGCACTCTCGTCTTGTGAGGCTATGTACATTATCGTTGCGTTAAGTGCGTGTCAAGCCATGTGGCTAATGAATCTATTGAAGAAGCTAAGCAGCAATGAAGGTGATGTTGTTATAGTCCTAGTTGATAACGTTTGCGCGATTAATCTTATTAAGAACCAAATTACACATGGGAGGAGTAAACGCATTGAGATGCGGTTTCATTATTTGAGGGAACTTGTTAGTGAAGAGATGTTGAAATTAAGATATTGTCAAAGTGAAGAATAAGTTGCTGATTTGTTGATCCAGGGGGTCACAATTGAAGTGTTCAAGAGGTTAAAGATGAATATGGGCATGAAAGATTTGAAACATTTGAATTAAGGTGGTGTATTAAAAAAAAAATTTAATTCAAGTGCTGTAATGGATTACTAATGGGATGTAACTGGTTACCGGCATGCCAAAACATTAAATAAGACGCAGAAAAAGTGATTTTACAGTGTAACTGATTACGCATTCACAATAACCAATTATCACTATTATGATATTTCTGGTTTTTAGCCGATGTAATTGGTTACAGGTTGTGTAACTGATTACAAGTCAAAAAATTTAATTTTTTTCAATTATTTGATGTTGTAACTTGTGTCTCATTCCACTTGTATCTAATTCAAATACTTTGGAGGTATTATTTTCAACAATAATGATAATTTCCACCCTCAATTTCTTCTTCTCTCTACCTTCCGTTTTTTCCATTATTCATTAATCTTATGGTTATAAGCTCTAACATGTTTAACTTTTTTTAACAAATTATTGGTTGAAATTGAGATCACATCAAGCCTGAAAAGTTAGGTATATATGCATCCACAAATCCAACCAGAAGTCTGTATTGTTGTTACACACGTAGACACATGCTAGAAACTTAAAGCGCCAATTACATTGTTTTCCTTCAAAACAAAAATATCCAACCAACCTTTCATCTACATATATCTTCTTTAACACTTTATCTTAATATGGATAGGTTAGTTCAAGGTCCACCATTCCATATGTGAGATAAATCTCTAAACCCACTAACATTGACATTTTTCACTAAATTTTATATATTCATACTTGTCTTTCAAAAAGAATATTAGAGATTCAAGATCCAAGTAATTAATATTTCTTGAATAATGTATTGATCTGCATACAAATCTAGCTAGGTACATATATAGAACAAGTTAAGGGAAGCTACTAGTACTACTTATACTACATAGTACATAGAGACTTTATGGAGTATAATGTTAACTAATTACTTTAGTATATAAGCTTCATTATTGCTCTTGTTTTCCAGGAAATGATGATGGTAGTAAATCTTGCAACAAACCATTGTCGCAATGGAGCTGAAACTGCTGCTGATGAGCCGGTAGAGAAACATTTTGGTGGAACATTTGATGATTACTACTTTGACTATAACTTGGAAGAAACTGAGCAAGGAAATCTTGGTGTATTCTTTGCTCCAATCCAATTGAGTTGGAACCAAAGATGTTGGAAGCTGCATTGCCTCTAAGTGTGGCTGGACAATGATGGTTGTGTTGTCCTTCATATGTTGTCATCACAATTGATGGATCTTGGTATGATCTTTCCACTCTTTTCTTCACTATACACTTTTGACTTGTGCATCTATAATAGCTCCTACATTACACACATAAGCAACATTAGTACTCTTAGATTTTATCATATAATACAATATATGTATGGATTGTTCATTTTTGTTTTCCTTGACCTATAATTTTGTTTAATAATAATAATAACAAAAATTGGAGATTTGAATCATCTGCAGCGGCGGTTGTTAATTACTCGATTATACGAATCATGATAAAAAAAAATAATTAAAATAATTGTGTAGGTTAATATTGGTAATCATTTTATTTTGAAAGGTTAAGTAAAAAGGAAACATGGAAATAATGAACCTTGGGTAAGGACTATTCTTGACTGCTTTTTGTCCATATTTTCTCCATCTATAACCATCTTCAAGATGATCAATCTCACTTTTAGTCAAGAATGCAAACCTTGGTTCTTTTGGTTTTTTCTCTTTCTTTTTAACCTTGTTCCTAAAATCCTCCAAACCATAAGTCAAATTCATAACAAAACAAAAGATACATAAAAATCTAACATACAATAAAACATAAGGAAAATATATTATTAGGGTTAGATAACTTCCTTTTCTACCATTTTAGTCACACATTACACAAAAGTAACAAAACCTATAAATATTGCATTCACACTACTGTACTTGTAATAATAATTTCAAGAGATAGAATATAAACAAAAGTGACCAAATTCATTTCATGAAAGACACTGAAAAAAAAGTCCTAATTACCTGTGGAAAATATACATTATTGCATTATTGATGGTTCAAAGAAAACTCCAAATATAAAAATAAAAAAATACTCAGATTCATGATCTTAATTTAGATCTCTAATCCTTAATTTAAATCCATAATTGCATTTTTTTTTCTCATTTCGCGTAATAATAATAGAAAGGCTTGCATCAGAATTAAGAATTTAAAACCATGATGAGAATTCAGAATTTAAAGGAAGAGAAAGAGATAAAAGAAAACCTACTCTTTTTTAGAATTTTCATCTCCATCTTCAGACCCTAATTTTGGATGCTTATCTTTGTTATCACTTTTGGTTGAGTCACGTTGTATAACAGCTTCAGCTTCATTAGATGAAGATGATTCAGAATCTCCTGCACTAGATTTCTTTGTGTTAATGGAGGAAACTACTTCAGATGATGAACAAGACAAGTCAAAGGCTTTTGAGAGAGTGCTATAGTCCATGGAGCCATGTAAGTAGTCAGTGAAAGATGTAGTATGAGTAGAAGAAGGATCAAATCCTTGGAAGTTTTCTGAGAATGAAAAGTTGGAGTGATTGAGTTCATCATCATCATGATAGAAAAGATCATGATTTTCATTAGCCATGGAAAGAGAGAGAGAGAGAAGGTGGAATTATGGAGAAGAAATAAAGTTGGCTTTTTTATGAGAATGAAATTTCAGCTAAGACTTAATTTTGATGTTTCTTTTTTATTTTATTTTTCTTCCTACTTTTACACTCTCTTCCTTTAATGTTTCTAGGTAATTAACTAGGGTTTCTCTATCTCCAAATTTCTGAAAATGATTCCATTGCATTTGATTTTTTTCTGCAATCATCTAGTTAAAATATTTAAATCGTATCCAACGGTTAAAAAAATAGAAATATTTTTAGTTTATAATTTTTAAATCATTCTAAATTAAAATTATCCGATCTTAATCGAAGAATTATCGATACTTAAATGTGTGATTAAGGTTGATTTTGACAGCAGAAAAACGCAAATTCAAATATCTATTATAATTGTCTAAAAATATTTTTAATTTTCTTAATTTTTTGGAACGCGGTGATAATTAATTGAATTGATATGTAATTTAGTTAAATGAAGATATATAAAATAATAATTATTTTTTTTTTTTGAAATAGTGAATTTTTAGATGTATGAATTATAGATACGATGATTAAAGGATATTTCTTTTAAATAGTGAATTTTTACATGTAAGAATTATAGATATGATTAACTATTTTTAGAAAATATTATAATTATTTTCAAATTTTTAATATTATAAAATTTATTTTACTAAAAAAAAGTCTACTTTTAAACTAATTTTTAAAAGTTCATATTAGATCGATTTATTGGGGACACACAAATTATTCGTAATTATTTTATGCAAAAGAAAATTATTCTTTTTCTTTTATTTTTAGAAAAAAAGAGAGAATATTTTCATATTTTGTGGCGTGATTTGTGATCTATAATTAATTGAGCCAATTTGGTTGAAAGACTTAATTAGCTATTAAACTGATAACGACTTGTCATATACATCTAACTAAAGTACCCTTTTCTATTAATTATTTATTTGATAGTTTTGAATCTAATCAAAGAGAGAGAAAAATAACAAGTTTAACATAATGCTTTTGTTTGTTTCATAAAAAATAAAAATGCTTGTTTGTTTGTTATTAATGTATGATATGATAATTGATATTTAGGAAAGTACTAGTAGCAAATTTATATTTTAAAAAGTAATTAAGGCTATACTTAGCTTAATTAATGTACTAATTAAGATGATATTTTGATTGAAAAAGTTTGCATTTTGTGATCATTTGTGTTCCACGTAATTGTTTGGTAGGATCGTAGAGTGTGATAGAGTGTGTATGCAGGGGTCCTTGAAAAGTGACGTCATGCATAATATATATATATATATATATATATATATATATATATATATATATATATATATATATATATATATATATATATATATATATATATATATATATATATATATATATATATATATATATATATATATATATATATATATATATATATATATACTTTTTTTAGAGACTAAAATACATCCCACATCATATTAAACCATTTTTGTGAGGAAGTTGTTGAGTTAGGTGTCATTCGAGAGGTCTTATTTTGATTATAATAAAAAATAATAACTTATTTTGAAGGATTGTGATGGTGGTGGTGTTTACAAATAAAAATAATAGAAAGTTAAAGCACAATGACACTAATTTGAAATATTTGATGGACAATAATTTTTATTTATAGTTTTAATGACCATAATATAATTAAAAATAATTGATATTCTATAGTGTTTGTTTTTATGTAGAACAATTTATAATTATATATGGAAAATAAAGACATGATCTTTTATAGAAGAAAATAATCATTTGTATTAGAGGTAATAAGTTTGACTACTTAGATCTCAAGTTTAAATGATCATCTGCACTCAGATGAAAAAAAATGATCATATGCATAAGAGTAAACAAAATTAACCAAATGATCATTTGCACTCAACTAAAACTACCCAATCATCTTCCCCCGGAGAAAGAGAATGATCATTTTTGCTCAAGTAAACAAAGTTGACTATATATTCCAAGGCTAATATGACCATCTACACCCCAAGGCAAGAATGATCATGTGTACTCAAACATACGTGATCATATGTACTCAACACAAGTGATTATCTATGCCTATACCAAGAATTGGTCTTATGCATCTCAAAGGCGAAAATTAGATGTGTTATGTCACGCAAACACTATGTCAAAAAAGTTTAGCAGCGCTTTTTTTGACCTTTAGCAGCGCTTAAAAGCGCTACCTAAAGTGGCGCTGCTAAAGGTAAAGACAGCGCTTTTTTTATGGAAAAAGCGTTGTTATAGGCCCCCTTTACCAGCACTTTTAGCAGAGCTTTTTGCCCCCTTTAGTAGCGCTTTTGGAAGCGCTGACTATTCCCCCTCCCCTCCCCCCCCCCCCCCCCCCCCCCCCTTTAGCAGTGCTTTTAGAAAGCGCTTTCTTAGACCCCCCCCCCCTTTCCCCACCTATAGCAGCGCTTTTAGAAAGCGCTTTCTTATGCTCCCCCTTTAGCAGCGTTTTTTGAAAGCACTTTCTTAGACCCCCCCCCCCCCCTTCCCCACCTATAGCAGCGCTTTTTTCTAAAAGCGCTGTCTATTCTTCACGATTTTAAATTTTTTTTAAAAAAAAATAATCACATTTTTTATATATTTTTCGATAAACCTGCTTATAACAATTACATTCCCTACTTATAATTCAGGCATTTAATTCAACACTTTGGCCTTATATATACATTGTAATTCAACACTTTGGTCTTAAGTATAAATTATAATTCATCACTTTGTCCATAATCATTTTAATACACATAAACCTGCTTAAATATATTACAACACAATCCGATCCTCAGAACAACATCACAAATACAGTCAATTTATATATAATTACAAATCCGATAACTTTACAAATAGATACGACTTCCAGAAATATTATTATCCCGCATCAATATTGGATGATACATATACCTTATACAATTCTCAACTCAAGAATAAATTGACACCATTCCTCCTTAATTTCTTCCAATCCTGCTTTAGAGTAAGTACCGCACTTGAGTTCATCAAAGTACTACATAATATAACAGAACATGCACGGTTTAGTTTTAAAACTAATTACTCAGATGAAATATCGGTTAATTATCAAAATGAATCATATAACTTATGAATTGATCCATACCATGATTGAAATCTCTATTTGATCAGAATGAATAATTTCCTTCATAAAGCGCAATACAGAATATTCGCAGTCAATCCCATTGCGCTGATGTGGACACTGTAAATGGAAAAAACAAACGAACATTTATCAGGATATATAGTTTAAATAGTTTTATCAAGTAGAACCACTATAACAGTCAAAAATGGGAAAATATACTTGCACTCTAATCCAGCTAATGTTGTTAGCCTTGCTTTTTGGCACTGTTGCTTCTCTTTATGCTCTGAATATTTGTATAGCTCTAACATAATATAAACGCATATTTAGAACAATCTCGCATAATAAATAAAGATATATATTTATTCAGAACAGTATATCTCATAACTTACGTATCAACCATATTCTTCATATCAGGATATTTTGTTTGATCGCCATCCAATGAATCCAGATAATACACTATTTCTTTCATCGGATTAATCGCGACCAACAACCAGTGTCCACTATAAAATAAGACAACAGTTTAAACGAAAATATTATTATAGAATGGCAAAAATCGAATAACTATAATAAATGAATTTAGAATGAAATCTAACCCATGACCAGTATTATATGGCAACAAGAACAACTTCTCTGTAGTCGCGGCCATAAATCTTTGGACTATGTAATCTTTGACTATATCTGGTGCGTGATCTATTGACCGTGAGTTGATACAACTAGCAGATAAGAATGTGAATATTGAAGTCAAATCATGCGGGACCAACAACTTGTCATACAAGAGCCTAAAAGAAAAACATAATCAACATTAGAATATTCAGTTAAATGAGCAAATTTTAAAATGTTCAATTATTTAATTAAAATGGATCGGAGTTCCTGATGTAGGAATGCATAACACCGATGCCCAATTTAGAATGTTGGAAAATCTTGTCCAAGTCCTCTTTAGCAATTGTTTCGGAATATTCAAAACCAAAAATACCTTCCATAGGTATTTGTCAGATGCCACCCTTAGCCACATCTGTTGTTCCTACATATGTTTCAAGGCACAACCTAAATCAAGGAACAAATGCTTTTCTTGACTCGGCCTTTTTTTGTTGGGCACCTTGCAAGATTCAGGCATCTTACCCTTGCTGGCTTGTTGCAACTGTTGATCATGAACCTAAAAGTCATATAAGTTCGGTATTAATGTATAATAAGATAATCATGTAACTGTAGTAGTACCTGTTTCTTTGATGCAGCTGAATCGATTTCCCGCATAATAGTTCCCTTATCTTTTGATTTGGATTTTGTAGGAGTCTAAGATCATCATGTAAATAAGAAAATGTAAATGTAAGAATAACTTTCATGTATGGGTCATAAAACATTTGAATATTACAAGGTTCATAATGGTGTTCAACCTACCTCATTATCTATGAAAATGAGATTTGTCGGCCATGCAACATACGCTCATATTGCGTCTCCTACCACTGTTGCGTCTGAAACATCATCTGGTATAGGCAACAACGCACCCCCTCTAACGCAATATCAACCGATACTTTCAAAAATCCAGCAGGGAGCGGTTTATGGTGAAGTAAGTCTCCCACAATGTTATGCACCTTTCCCTTACCAACCATGCGATAAGTCGGTGACGATAAATATAGTCGACAAGGTGAAATGCCCTAAACAAATAATGATGCCGATTAATGTGTCAATTAAGAAAATTGTGCTAAATTAATTTCAATGTAATATATACAATTACCTCTGGAAGCTTCTGCGGACAATTGATACTATCTTTGTCTCTAGTATCTTTACCCTCTGGACCGCGCCTTTCCGACATGTATCTCTCTTTGTCCTTCTGTAATTCACGAATCTGAGCTTTCAATTCCTCCAACGTATCCATCACTTCTTTAT